GAAGGGTTGAAGGGAGGTCAGGAGAATAGGAAAAAAATAAGAACCCAGATACATCATATAAAGGTACAAGCTGCCAGTAATGAATGTAACTGTATTGTATACCTAAAATGTACCAATAAACTTAATGGGAAAAAAACCCATGATTTAATGACGTGGAATTTTACTAAAGATAAAAATGTGTATTTCATGCTGATAAAAATGCTAATCATTAGAAGGACATAACAATCCTAATGTTTATGTACTATAAAACAAAATTTTAAAAGAAAAGTCTCACAATACTCGATGGAGAAAAAATAAATGTAGTTACAAATAGAGATTTCAATGTACAATTTTCATAACTGATAAATAATTACAGTGAATATCGACTAATTAACATCTATAGAGTACCTCACCCCAAATCCAGGAAACATATTTTTGAAAAGTACATAGAGCGCTTACCATGATAGACATGATGCTAGATATTATATTTAATGTATTTCAAAATATTGCAACTTCTAAAAATATATACTCTGACACAGCAAAATAAATTAAAATTTAATGTCAATATTTCCAGATATTTTAAAGCAATGGATTAGAGGAGAAATTATGGAAAAATGGAAAATATTTTAATCATTTGGTAATTAATATTTAAATATAACATTAGATGTATGTTGTAATTAGAACAATGCTTAAAAAATAAATGTTTATATTTTTAAAATAAATTTTTAAAGGAGTGAGTTGGCATTCACCAAAAGAATCTGTAAAAAGAAAAGCAAATTAAATTCAAAATGATTTCAGGAAAGAAATGATAAATTAATACCAGAAATGAATAACAGTAGCAGAAATCAAGGAAAGAAAATGAATGTGGCCAAATACCCAATCAGAAAGAGAAATAATAATGGGTAAATCCATGGCATTTTAAGAAAGATAGAAAGAAAATATACGTTACCGTGTTACCAATGTTATGAATATAAGAGAAGCCAGAAACAGATCTTACATGTATTAACCGGAAAACAAGGTCATATACCTCCAACATCTTCATAACATACACAAAGTTATGAAAAAGTATAACTTAAAAAAAACCCAAGAAAAAATTGAAAATACAAATAGTCCTTCAACATTGAATTAATTAGTAATTTAAAAACTTCTGAAAAGGGAAAATAAAAATAGCTTTTTAATGAATTCCATCAAATATTGAAAGATATTGTATCTTATGAAAATATAGGACATTTGTTAAAAAGCTTCAGTATTTGATGCTAGCAGTAATAATGTCACAAATAATTTCATAAATTAAGGGAAGATTTTCCTTTCACTCTATATTCTGCGATTATCCTTTTTTCTAGTAATAATCAGAAAAAATATATTTATAAAGAAAATTATGAATTTATCTCTATTATAAAAATGAAATGAAAAATCCTAATTGCTATATTATAAAACCTAACATAGCAGTGTTTAACAAGGAGAGGACATTATCTCCATTTGAGAGTTTTGGGAAGAATTCAGTGTTTGTTTTTTATTCCAAATTAATCAATATATTTACTACTATAAAAAATATAGGGACAAATTATATGATAATTTAAATAAGTACATAAAAGGTATTTATCAAAATTCAACACCCATTCAATAAAATAGACCTTCTAAAACAAAGAATAAAAAGCAAATATTCAACCTGGTAAAAACAGGATAAGTATGGTAAATGAATTATAAAAGACCTTTATTTTACGCAAGAATAAATGAGCAGATTTTTACAGCATTGAGAACTAAGGATGTACTCACAACACTTTAAACTTAAAAGAAAATAAGGCGATCATTTTGTGACTAAAGTTAAGCAAATATTCCTCAGAGAGGGACAAAAAGGTACTGACAAATGTTACTTCAAAAGTGAAATGTTTTCTTTGTAGAAACCACTAAGAAAATAAATATATGAAGCAGATATTAGAAGAATGTATTTTCAATATAGTTTTCAGTTAGAAATCATTCCAAGAATAAGCATTGGATATTTGAGATCAGCAAGCAAAAAAGCAAAAAGATACAAAGCTTGAAGGGACTCAAAAAAGCACTTTTAACATGACATTAGAATTATCAAGGAAGCACACAGCGTGGCCAACGTTACTGTACCAGTCCTCAGAGAAATGCAAAATAAATCGATAAGAAGAACTACTACTAGAAATGAAAAACCTTCTAGATTGCGTAGAAGTAAAGGCTAATAGTCTACAATATTGGCAGGAATATGGTGGTACAAATTGTATGCTTGTATAAAGTATTTGATTTATATTATAAAATGATACAACCGCTTTGGAAACCTGACGAGCTTCTTAAAAACATAGATACGCTATGGCCCTACAATTTCCATCAAGACATTTCCTCAAAATATCATAGCATGTGTCCGCAGAAATTTTGTGGGAAATATTCATAGCAGTCCCCTTCATAATGGCTTAAAATAGTTATCAACACATATCAGTGTCATAGGAGGATGGATGCAAGTTTTGAGCTTTATTCATAGCTTTTATTTTTTATTTTATTTTATTTATTTTTTTGGTACCAGGGATCAAACCTGGGACCTTGTGCTTGTGCGGCAGGCTGTGAAACCACTGAGCTAAATCCCCGGCCCATATTCATAGCTTTTAAAAAGAGAATCACTGTTCCAAGAAAATGTTTAAATCCTCACAAGCAAATATTAAACCAAAGAATTTGGACAAAAAATTGTATAAATAAATTAATTCATTTTATATGAGCTTCAATAATAGGCAAAACTATTGGATGATAATACAAATTAGAACCACAATGAAGATGTTAATTGAATGGAAATGAGCGATGGGAGATTTTCTTGTTTAAGAAAAATGACATATATCCTGAATAGGCAGTTAGTTATCAGGGTGTTAAGACTTTCCAAATTCACCCAGGCTGATGGCACTCACACTTGTAACCCTATCTCTCTGGGAGGCTGAAACTGGAGGTTCAGAATTTGGAGCCCAGCTTGGCAATTTAGCAACTTAATGAGACAAAGATACTGTCTCTCTCTCTCTCTCTCTCTCTCTCTCTCTCTCTCTCTCTCTCTCTCTCCCTCCTGT